TGTCGGAGGAAATACCCTCGAAGGTGGCCGTCCGGGGTCTCCCTGCCGACACCGATGCGGCGGAAGTTACGAACGCCCTCAAGGAGCTGGGCTTTCCTGCTCGATATGCCCGGTGTATCCGGGCCAAGAGAGGGAGACAGGGCTGCGTTTTCTTCGTGGCCTTGGACCACCTCTCCAAGGGTGACCTCGCCCGGCTGTATTCAGTGAATGAACTGATGTACTTGCCGGGGGTGACGGTTGAGGGATGGCGTCCAAACCGAGGACCTGCGCAGTGTCACCGCTGCCAGGCCTTCGGTCACGCGTCCACCAATTGTCACCGTGCGGTCCGCTGCGTTCGATGTGCCGGCGAGCACATTGTGGCGGACTGCCCGAGGCCAAGGGATGGCCCATTATCCTGTGCAAATTGCGGGAAGGACCACGCCGCCATCGATCGGCGGTGTGTGGTCTACCGCAAGAGGGCCAGGATGATGGGAGTAACCATCCCCCCTCCTGCACCACCGGTGCCTCGGCCCAGGAATGTCCCGGCTCCAGTCGCTCCAGTCGCACCTGTTCCCATCCCTAAGGGAAAGGGNATGAGTGCCCCCATGGGACTGAGCTGTCCACACTCGTCATTTCCCCCCACATCGTTGGGGTGCCCCCTTATGGGGACCCATTTCCCACCCCCGTTGGGTGGACCACTCCCCCGTCTGGGGAGTGTTTAAATCGGTCCCTCCCCGCGATGGTCTTCCCCTTTTGGGGAGCCCAGAACGGGTGAGCGCCAAACTAGTGCCGCGGCTCCTCCTCTGGTTTGTAGAGGTGGGGCCGCGGCATGGGGCCGGTGGCGGGCCCCAAGGTTGCTGACTGTCCCTGTATGTATATAGTAGTTTAGTTAGTTTTAGTTTAGTTGTAGTTAGTTGTAGTTAGACAGTAAGGGAAAAAAAAAAAAAAAAATTGCATTAGGAAGCAGAGGACAGCAGCCGGCGCCAGGGTGCGTCGTCCACGGGCATCACTCCTCCTGCATCATCAAGCCCGTCGTATTATATATATGTATGTATTTTTGTCGATGTGAGTGTGCCGAGGCACGCTGCGAACAGCCCCC